TTAAACATATAGAAATGCACCGACACTTAACATACTGAGCTGTTTCGATCCTTCTTAAGAATATTTAATAATACTTATTATTATTTGTTGTTTCTTATCAAAAGAAAATTGTGATAATTAAAAATATAAAAATATATATTCCTTTCATTTCAAAATATTAGTATATTATTCATTTTTTATTATTTTAAAATATTAATCCTTTTTCAAAAATTAAGAATTAAAATAATATAAATTTTTTATTTTTCCCATCTTTTAAATTCATTAAACATTAATATTTTTTAAGTGTAATAATTACACTACCAAAAGATAGTTTAAAAGAGTTAATTTTTTTAAGTATAAAAATTATATTATCAAAAAAAGTTAGATTCTTTAAAAAGAACTAATATTTTGAGACGAAATGAATATTAAATTTGTTAAAGAACATGAGAAACTATATAAGAGAAGATGATGAGAGTTAGAGAGGAGAAGATAAAATAATCATAAAGAGGACTTACATGTAGATCCTAATAGGTTTATTGTCCAATAAGTCTTATGAGAATTAATGGCATTTTGTATTAAAAACTATTAAAAAACGTCACTAATTGTTAATTTTCTGCAACAAATTGAAATTTTTGTCACAAAAAAATTCACTAATCATAAGTTTTAGCGACATTTTAAAAAAATCATTACCAAAAAAAGGTCATTGGTTTTTAACTTTCAGCGACAGTTTCAAAAATTCGTCATGAAAAATGTTACTAATTGTAAGTTTAGTGACAATTTATAAAAATCGTGATTAAAAAAATACTAATTGTCAATTTTTAATAATATATACAAAAAATCGACACAAAGAATTATTTTTAGCCACGATTTTACTATGATTTATTTTTAATAAGACTTGATAGAAATTAAGTCCAATTATTAAGATCTCTTGATAATTTATCCTAATTAAGTCACTTTTTTTTTTCATCCCACTACTATCATGAATTTTACAATTTTGTTCCCCTTACAATAGAAAACCTCTTTCCCAATGAAACTTTTATACTGTATTTGGTTGAGGAATTTGAGAATTTAACAATTTTGTTCCCCTTACAATAGAAAACCTCTTTCCCAATGAAACTTTTATACTGTATTTGGTTGAGGGATTTGAGAATGGATTTGAAAAAGAAAATGGAAAACGTAGGTGAAATGTGAATAAAATATACCTATATTTCATTTAGTTTCACACACTTTTTCTCTTTTCTATTCCAAATCTCTCTCTAAATTTTCCAACCAAATACAGCGTTAACTCATTTTTTTACGAACTTCTAATATTCATTGACCTTTTTATGTTTACTTGTTCAATCATTTAGAATACTTGTTCCAAAAAAAAAATCATTTAGAATATATTCACGTGAGGGTTTTTTTTGATATTTTTGTATTTGTATTCTGTTACTCTAATTTTTATTATTTATAGTTAAGAGAGAGATGGATATCCTCATACCTTGTAATTTTCTTGCCATAATAAAAGTCGTAATAGCCATGTAACCCTATTTTTGGAAGGAACATGTAAATTTTTGTGCTTTTCATTAGTATTTGATTTATATTTTTGTGTTTTGTGCTCCATATGGTATTTATTCTTTCAACAATGTTACATCTCTCTAATTTACCAGAAAATACTATAAGTCTCAATTTTTTTACTAAATGAATGACTAAATGTCTCACATCGGTATGAGTCCATAAAAGTGTGGACTTACAAAAGTGTGGACCCACATCTATGTGAGACATTTGATCATTTATTTAATAGAAAATTTGGTATTTCTAACATTATTCTTAATTTACTACCCATAAATCACCCCTAACGATATGGCAATGAGATTAGACCCCAAAATTTGATACTTGTTAGACACATTAGGAGTGGTGATAAATTAAATGTCTAAAGTATTTTTCTTAATTTTTGCTAGATTGACAGTTTTTGTTTTCAAACATCTTTAAATTTGTATCTCATTTTTTTAATATATTCAAAATGTTATTTTCATTTCTAAACTAATCAAAACAACATATAGAAATTTTAATCCTAGCCCCACACTTAGATAGAAACTGAACATTTTGGACTTTAACCCACATGAGAATTGAAAGATTGCTAGAAAGAGTACAGACATGGAGCTGAAGCTAAAAGAGCAAGGATTTGAGACAATTCAAGAGGAATGGACCAGACAATTAGCCGCAAATTCTGGATCAGATGCTCTTCCACTTGTTTCAGGAATCATATGTGTATGTCTATGTATTTTTGTAGGGGTGATAAACGAACTAAATAATTTGAGCTCAACTAGTGTTTAATTTGTTAAAAACTTGTTCGAGTTTGGTTTGTTAAACAAACAAGTCAAGTTTGAATACATTTTAGAGTCCGCTAAAGTTTTCAAACTGAACTTGAACAGTCAATTATTTGTTCAACTCAGTTCTACAAGTCTAAAATTATATAAAATATCAAATATTTGAGTTCGACTCGATAAAAGTTTGTTTGAGATTGACTCGAAAATTTAACAAATTAAGTTTGAACAAATTTTAAAGTTCTTTAAAGTTATCAAATCAAGTTTAAACATTTAATTGTTAGGTTCGTTTATCATCCTTCTCTGGATGGACATTTGTGTGTGTGTGTGTGAGAGAGAGAGAGAGAGACCGAAGCCATGGCATTGCATGTTACTTACCTAAAGATTTAACAATGCTACATACTCTCAAAAAATACAATTTTCACAACATTCACTTATCTGTGATTGGTCCAATTTTCACAATCTGCACTTATCTATGATTGGTTCAGAAAAAAAAAAGAAAAAATACAAAAATATAAATAAAAATATAAATCACATGTTAGCTCACATCATTTTAAAAGTCATGAGTGTCCCAATTTTAGGGTCCCAAGAATTTTCGTTTATACATATTCAGACCCCATTCATGCTATGCCAAACTCTCTGAAACTGAAAAAGAAGTTCACATGATAGGACTCTTCTTGTCATTTCTCATTATTGGATACACATTCAATAATTTTACTGTATCCTAAAATCTGATTAGACAATTAATAAGATAACTTTCAATATAATCTTCAATGCAACAACTAGGAACGAAATGGGTTAGTTTAGATGAATCCATTGAGGCTGAAATTAGTACATGCCTCGGAAGAAACTCCGATAATAAAATTAGTTCACTTTCTAGAAACAAACAAAGGTCTATTTTAAGAGGTGGGTTAAAAGTTACTTCTCAACTTTTAGCTCATTTTTTACTTTTACAAAAAAGTTAAAATGTAATTTTTAACCATCTTTTCAAAATACCCCAAAGCACAATAAGTGTTGCACAAGTACTCACATGGAAAATTCTATATATATCTTATTATAAATCTTTATCATAAAATTTTATAATATCAATTATAAAATGCGTATCGTAACAAAATCATAAACTTTTGTTATATAAATTAAGAAAATTTAGACATTCTATAACATTAATTTATGATGAAATCATGCCAATTTAATAAGACACATGAAGAGTGTGTATTATAGGATTTTCATACTCACATATGAAGAGTGTGTAAGCCTTTATATAAGTTGTTCATACAAGATACCTTTGGATCACATCTCTTACTGGATCTCTTTCCTAATTGTCCTAAGTAATTAAATTGTATTTTTTTATTTTATTTTTTTTTAGTACAATGATAAATTTATCTCTGAAAATTGGAGTAGAACTTTTTAATAAATAAATCCATTCTACAAGACCTGGTTGCAATTATCCCTTTAAAATTAGAGCAATCATATACATAATATCAAGGATAAATTACAAATACGTCTCCTGAGATGTGCTTAAAATATGAATTGTCCTCTGTGGTTTCCTATCACAATTTTTCATTTAACAGAATTAATTGAAAAAAGTAAAATTTCTAATTGTTCACCTATACAATATAAAATTATCTAAATTATTAATTGAAATAAAATTTTAACATTATTAAAAAATGTTAATTAACTTGATTATTTATTGATAAAAGGACCTATTTATTATAAAATTAGAAACCTTATGGAACATAATGTAATTTTTAGAATTACAGGGATAATTTATAATTTAAATAAATCTTGAGGGGTGTTTGTAATTTATCCTAATTTCAATTATTTATCTTATTTTCTCAATCTTGTACACAAAGTAATAAGACCCACATCAACAAATGGACATGGAATCCAATCACTCGTATTTAGGAGTGAGAAAAGAGAGAAATAAAATTATATTTAATATGTGTCTTAAAATTAATTTAAAACTCATTTAAAATCAACTTATTAAGTAAACAAGAAAACCTTAAACATATTTTAAATCTTAAAAAAATTTTAAAGAAAACTTGAATAATTATATACATATTAAAAAAAATCAATTTACTAAAACTGGACTAATAATTAACTCAATTAAATCTCGTTTGAAAATTGTTCAAAAAGTGAACTTGTCAAATTTAAAGATTCGAAAAATTGTATAGTTTTCTCATGCTTATACACCATAATCAAAGAAACGATTTTCATTACAGAATTTCATTTCTTCATGCGTAGGAAACCATTTTCTAAATAAAACCAATAAGAACTACAAAATTTGGGTTGTTACCAATTTTGAATTTCAATTTTCAACATTTTAGATTTAGAAATACAAATACTATGAGAAAGTATGAAAACACGATCATCAAGATTTTAGTCCTAAAAAAAATCATGAAGTCAACATTTTTCTTATGAATTCGATCTTTTCCCCAAAAATGAGCAATACAATGAAGTTTCTCAAAAAATAGTGAAAACGGGCAATTTTCTCAAATGGCACATTACTACGTTCCAAATTATGACTGTCCCTATGAACAAACTTCATAATGATTGCTAAGCTTGTTATTTCCTCATAATATTTGTGAATTATCTTGATTAATTTTCTTTTTCATTCATTTTTTAGAACTAAGTAAAGCCTGAAATACCAAACACTATTTTATTAATCAACTACATGCAAGTTGGACAAAATATACAAGATACAGGCACGCTCCAAATCAAACATGTCATATAATTATCCAATAGCCGTAACCAAAAGCCCAAGAAGCGCCTCAGCTAATAGATTATGCAGTATGCATGGCGAGCATGCACAGAGAATTGCACACACGGGGCCTCAGCAAATAGATTAAGCAACATGCATCGTGCACGCGCACGCAGATAGAGCTACATAAAACACTGCATACAAACACTGCAGCATTGTACAATGTTTAAAAGTAGCTACCAGTCGAGAAAACACTCAGCATACAATGATTACACAACTGGGGCTTGGAAGCCCTTGATTGTTAATTAAGTTGAAATCATACCGAGCTAAAAAGTCCTCCACTGCCTACAACTTTACAGGTTAGATTAACACATACAGAGTGTGAACAGACTACTCTTTCTAATACCTAGCTGCTCTGAGGAAGTTGTCAAAAGGGCTGGCAGGCGGTAGCTTCAGAGCCAACCATGGGTCCATCTGCGGCATAGCTCCCTGAACAGGAACAGATCCCTCTCTATTGGTTACCTACACCAACACCAATGGTCCATCAGAAAATGAATGCAGAATATGGTTGACTATAAGCAAGAGCATGGTTTTAAATAATAACAATATCAGTATACTTGTTAGTATATATCCAGCTAATATCAAACAGTATCAGCGAATATCAATATCACAAGTCCAAAATCCCAATACATTGCATATGTAGATATTATATTTACTGCTCGATATTATAACAGTATCAGGACTTGGACTTCTATAAGCAGTACCTTCACTAACTCTAAAATTAGAACAAATGGCACAAGACCTATAATACAAGGGGAGTCAACACCATTCATATAGGTAGGGTTGCTTGATTTGGGATCCCCGTGGTAGGCTGGGCTGGACCAAAATCCAGCCAAGAGAGGCAGCCTTTAGAACAACAGGTTAGGAAAGTCACACAACACTTCACGTTTTCTAATCTTCTTCTCACCATGGAAGTGTGCTCACTACATAGATTCCCCATGCAAAATCTTAGTAGCTATGTTGACCTTATGCATGTGTGAACTTCAACAAGGGATACATGTTGGCCTCTGCTAGGCCTAGTGGCTAGTATAAAACTCAAAACTTCTAGATCAACCAAGACTAATTAAGAAATCAAAGTAAGCTTACCTTCCTGATTTCTGACAACCCATCTGCAGAAAATGACGAAAGTACTTTCTCAGATGTTTTTGTGTAATGACTTTCTTGGGTCAACCAATTCGAGAGCTTCTTCCTTGCACCTGTTCCAAGAGCTTCACACTGACTGGCCATGGTGCTATATGGAAGGGGTGAAGTTGAAACAGACGCTCCAGCCACTTGACCAGCGACCTCAAGTGCCTGAAAACGAAACTAGGAAAGTGTCGTGCCAAGGACCAGGATGCATGGCAGATGGTGCATAAATGTGCATGATTAAATAACCAAGATGGATTTCATTTCAGATCAAGGAGATAAGCAATGCAATACACCTCGTATTGAGGATTAGAGAAGTGAAAACACAAGTTTATGCAATGTGTACACAAAACGCTATTTATGTATAGAGACACAATTACTTGAGGGGTATGATATCCAGAATTTGACAAAGCTGTGGTTTATTGAAACATAGAAAAACAACTTTCTCAACTAAATGACTTTTTTTCTTTTTTTCAGCAAAGGGAACAAAACTAAATGCCTTTCCTGAAATTTTGGTAGTAAAAACAAGTATGCCCTTCGCTATTTCTTTTATTCCTTTGTTATTTCAACACTAAAAAAATGTTTGAAGGAAACATTAACATCAAAAAGAAAGTGAAAAAAACTTTTTCTTCAACAAGAGCTTTGGTATGGTCACATGTCAAAGTCTGACCGACTCAAGAAAAAAAAAAAAAGAAAGATCATGGTCACTATTGAACTTGAACCGCCACACGAGGTTGTTAAAATCAGAATCCTAGGCAGGATCGTTGGGAGGGACTTATGGATCAAATCGTAGAATCAGATCGAGAATCGTAAGATTCTACTTTTAATGTAAAATAAAATCTTAAATTATCTATAATGATAATGTATGTTAAAAAATTGTAAAATCATTATAGAAAAATGATTCATTTGATATAATACATCTTTTATGTTATCATAAATTTAAAGAGATGTTTGAAGAAAAAATTTATAGTCAAGTTTCCTATATAAATGTACACATACATACATATATAAGAAATAAATAATAAGAATTTTTTTTTTTTGTAGGATCGGGATTGTTGTAGAATCAGGATCGTAGTGCGATTCTACACGATTTTATCACTAAGATCATAGTCACTTTAATCCTAGTGCGATCTGAATCATTTGGCCCAACTAGAACTATAGATCTTACGATCTGGATCAGGATTCTGATAACCATGCTGCCATGTCTATACAAAATGGCTAGCCCAATAAATGATGAATTCTAACTAGGAGAGTTATTGAAGGTGTTATCCAATTTACTTGTTTAGAAACAGAAGAATCAACCTAAAGCCATTGTACCATCTTTTCTTCATTGATTCTAGTGTCATTTTAACTCACTTTTCATGAATGACAAGCTAAAAAACTTTTAGATGCTGCATGATCTTGTTGACTAACATGCACTCATCTTTTTTTAACGGTCAATATGTGGGCATGCACACACAGGAAGAATGAGATTACCGATTCCAGAAGCTGCCCAATGCTGACAATGTGAGACATGGAAGGGGATGCCGGCATCTTCGGGATGAAGCGAGAGAGGTCAGCAACAGAAGATTCACTCATTGCATCGTCCTCGGCTATCAAATTTGTCAGAAAATCCTGAAACATAAGTGAAAATAATACAATAAAGCTTCTATTGCATCACTATCAGGAAATATCTTGGTGTAGTTTAACTAGGTTTGAAATTAAAAAAATAATTTTCTAATTGGACCAATTAACTCAACAATTGAACAGATAAAAGACAATTTGATTACATACTTAAAGATTAGATATCTGACAGAATAAAAGCACTTTCATCCAGGCAACTAACATACATCTTAAAACACCAGACAAGGACTGTTACTGATAAAAAATAAAATATAAAAAAACAGACAAGGACCCTGAAAGGGCATACCCCATCACAAGAAAGAGTTTCCTTGGAATTTGCAATTGCCTGAATGTGATCCAAATCAAGGATTGATTGTGGACCAAACATGAACGCATCATCAGGTGTAAATGGTTCTGAAAGCTGCTTTACAAGGTCAGCCACATCTAGCTGAACATGTGCACAGATGGAAGATACAGATATAAGTTTGTATATACTATATACTGCACACATTGATAAGAAGTGCAGAGAGAGAGAGCAATAGACTAATAGTATAAACAGTAGAAGCTCAGGTTTATCAGTTACAAACCACACCTCGACACTAGAAGACAAGTTCTGAACTAAGATATCCACGAGAATCTTGTCAGATTCAGAGATCTTGTTCCGTAAATCGAACAGCAACGATGTGGCCACTTGGTTATCAGTGACAGAACCATACTCTCTCACATCCGCCCCAGGCTTCACATATACTTGAAAGTCGTCACTGATGCCCAAGTAGGGATCCACCTGAAACCGAACAAAACATCCTTTGAAGATTAATGAATTTTAGTTGTAAATCTTATATTTGAAGTAACACAAACTTGGCACAATGAACCCTACGAAAGCAACAAAAGAAAACTGACATCCCATGCTAACCAGAAGGATATAAAGAAAAAGGTAAAACTTGAAAGAGATTATAGAGGAAGACACCTAGGGTCTGTTTGGATGGATATGGTTTTGACAAGCATAGATTTTGACATTAATTATTCAAAGAGAATAGCTCAAATTTAAATTTGATAGTTTACCTATAAATTTCAGTATTGAATGAAATAGCTTTATCATGATGGCTTTGAAATAGCTATGGGCTGTTTAGTGCAGCTTATGTAGCTGCTTATAGCTTTTTTATTTTGGAAAATTGTGCATGAGTGTAGAGCACAGCTTCTGCTAAAAAGCTTACAAGGCAAAAATAGAATAAATAAGCTTTTCTTTTAAAAAAAAAAAAGTTGATTATTGAGAAGCAGGCAGAAAGATGCTTTTAGCTTCTGCTTCTGATTATCAGTTTTCATTTTGCAAAAAGCTACACCAAATAGGCCCTATATAAAAGTAGTTATTTGAGATCATGTTGAGGATTCTCTTCCAGTAACAAGGTTCCTACTAAATACATCCCTTTTATGTTAACTTATCTCCTTCTAGAATCTCTCCACCTGTAATATCTAACTCTTCAATATTTTTAACTTCAAATCCCTTGATTGAAAATCCATATCCATCCAAATCACGATTTTAAGTAACGGTATCAAAATATCAATATTGATAATATGGTCATATATCAGCCAATATCATAGAGTAATGGACAGTATTAGCCAATATATCAATGCATAATGGTATCAAAAGGCCAAATCCCGTTACGTAATGCCCGAAACAATACATAACAACCAATATTTAAAACCCTGGTCCAAACAGACCCTTAAATTAACTAATTACAAAACATGACTATAATTAAATGCATGGCAAGTGAAACTTACATCACATTCAACCAATGAATTAATCAAATCATTCAAATCGGGAATCTGATATAACTTTGCTGCAAACATCAACATTGCCGTTGATAATATAAGAACTAATCTCTGGTATGTTGGAGGCCACATCCCTACAAAAAAAAAAAAAAAAAAAAAAATGTAGAAACACATCAATTCCACAACTTCAATCTTCTCCACGTTTAAGAGTTGCTTTTCACATACCATTGTTAGGGTCCAATGACATATTCCTAAGCGACAGGGGAAGCTGAAAGAAGCGGACCAGTAGGTTGTTATTGTGACTCTGCAACAAAACAAGTACGAGAGGTTTTATAAGAGAGTCAACCCGATATATATATAATTTTAAAATAAAAAATATAAGAAAACAAGAACATAAATAGCATGCTTGTGCACATAGTTAGTAAAAGAGTCTTGAAGAATAGAAGAAGAAGAAGCACATAACAATTCACAAGTCCGTCCCATGAGCCCTTAGGTAGACTTGGGTGCCCAATTACATAGCATTTGAAGGAACATATCCATCAAAACAATTTGTACTATCATAGCAGTTTTAGGATTTCATGATACTACACTGTTCTGATTTATCACAAGCATTTTCACAATGGCTACAATTTCTATAATATCACAAACATCTTGTATGACAAATATGTACAAAAGAATAGACATAATAGAACAATTCTATTTGTCATATTCAAGCGTACCATTAATCAATTTGAAATTGATGCAGTTCCCCCAGTAAGATCCAAAGGCACAAAATTACATTGCAAAGAAAACAACATGGAATGAAAAGCTGAAAGAAAGGCAAGAAGGAGAATGCACGCCAGAATCCTTACCTTAAGGCGTAACGAAATAAGTGCCAAGCAGTAAGAATGGGCTATAGCTTCAACATTTGAAGGTAGATTATCTGGAAGATTAGCTTGTACCCAAAAGGCAGACAGCAACTGTGCTATTTGATCCTCACTAAATTTCATAATAGATGGTTCCTGTGCCAATCACATAATGCACTTGTATTAAGACTAGTGCAACAAATTTAGATTTACTATTTAAATTTCATAATATATGCATATAAAATACTTTTACAGAAAATATATATATATATCCTTACAGCCACAGCCAAGCTAGTTGATCCAGCAGTCTTGTCAATTATAGAACTTATTTTGTAGAAATTAGGGGAATTCTTGAGAGCCCGCCCCTGCTTCCGTTCTTCTTCAGCGTCTCTTTCATTAAAATCATCTCGAATATTAATTGCATGCTTTTGTACTTTAGTTCCATCCTTTTCTCTCCGAAGCCTTTCAAGTAAAGCAGTAATTGAAGCAAATGCAGAGGCAGAATTGGAATGCCATCTCCTTGGATGGTTAGAAACATCACGTAGTGGATGATTAGAACTTGGGATGAGAAGACCAGAAAATATTTTATGTGCCCCGACACGTACTTCAACGTCAGGATGCAGCATTACTTTCAAAAGCTGAACAAGAAGAGCCTCTGGAAATACCTATAGAAAATGTTGCAAAAAAAAATAGTTAATTCACTGTTTTGTAAAAGAGAAACTTTTGAGGAAGATTGTCCATCAATGTCAACTTTTTTAAATATTGTAAGTGTGGTAGGTAAAGTTGAGTGTGGTAGGTAGATGTAAGGTAAAGTTGAGTGTGTTAGGTAAGAGTTGAGTGTGGTAGGTAGATGTAAGGTAAAGTTGAGTGTGTTAGGTAAGAGTTGAGTGTGGTAGGTAGATGTAAGGTAAAGTTGAGTGTGTTAGGTAAGAGTTGAGTGTGGTAGGTAGATGTAAGGTAAAGTTGAGTGTGTTAGGTAAGAGTTGAGCTGCTCCTTACCCTACTCCTGGAGCACTATTAATAGGTGATGCTTTCAACATGCGTCATCCTTTAACTGGTGGAAGAATGACTGGAGCCCTGTATAAGGTGTTTTGTGCATCTCCTGATCAAGTAAGGAAGGAAATGCGTGAAGCATGTTTTGATTATTTGAGCCTTGGAGGTGTGTGTTCAACAGGACCAGTGGCTTTACTCTCTGGTCTAAATCCTAGCCCATTGAGCTTGATACTCCATTTCTTTGCTATAGCCATATATGGTGTTGGCCGTCTCTTGCTACCATTTCCTTCCCCTAAGCGCCTGTGGATAGCAGCTAGATTATTTTTGGGTGCATCGGCTATCATTTTTCCCCTCTTTCTCTCACATGGGCTTGTCCCCTCTCTCTCCTCCGTTTGATTTCAAAATCCATTATTTTTATTTATTTTCTCCAAACCACTTTCCTTATTTCCCCCATCTTTCATTTTGATTTCAAATATATTTTTATTATTTCTTTCTTTATTTTTCTTTCACATTATTTTTTAATCTTTTTCAAATTCCATTCATACCATATAGCTTTGCACACCAAACCATCTTTTATTCATCTCAGGGATCAACCCCGATCACAATTTTAAAAAAAAAAAAAAAAAAACCCACAACAACACAAACCACAACACCACAAGATTTGTTTTCTTTTCTGCAGACGGCCACCCACCGACCTCACTTTTTCGCCTATTCCACCGGTCTTTTCTTCTTGCCTCCGTCCTGGGCGGCCCTTGACGGTGTTGCCTCCGTGTTTCCCACTCCACTGGGCAACGAGACTACTCCCTGCTCCTCCACTGCAGCATATAGCGGAGTGGGTGGCAAGTGGGTGGCTGGTGGTGGCGAGTGGTGGCTGGTGGTGGCGAGTGGTGGTGGCAGGTGACGTGGACGGGTGGGTGGTGGTGGCGGAAGACGATAGTGGAAAATGGTGACGGGTGGTGGCTAGTTTTGGGTGGTAAAAAAAAAAAAAAACTCAACTTAAAAAGAAAGCACATTTTTTGTATTTTTATTTTTTGGCCAAATTTATAAACTGAGACCACTGATTTATAAATCAAAAATTTTACCAAACAAATTTTTATTTAAATTTTTTAAATTTTTATTAATATAAACAGAAAACTGAAAACGTAAATGTTACCAAACGGCACATAAATAACAATCTTACCTGAAGTCGGCTTAAAAATATTTTACCCTAAGTAGGCATAGACACTTCTAGGAAGCAATCATGCCTGTGTTGAACACATGCCGGACACTAACTCTATGGAAACACCTATACGCGTATACTAATTTAGAAATGAAATTATATAATTCCATATTATTTTGTGTCCATGTCACGTATTGGGGTCTATGCCACATAGTTCTGACCTCAAAAACCATTTAAAAATAAATAAAGCTAAAAACAGGAAATAAGGAAATTCACCAGATGCATGGACATGCACAGGCATATACAGAGGATACGACAGGAATATCCAAATCAACTCACCTGCTGTGAAAATGAAGAGACAGATGCTAACGAAATTACATGAGCAAGAATGATCAGTGATTCAATGGTTGCTCTGGTAACTACTTTAACCGACGGCAGCTTCTCCAGTGTCGTCGCCATCACATCAAATAGTTGCCTTGCATCAGCAATCTAATAACAATGGATAAAAATCAACTTAGAAGACTCAATACAGCAGAAAAAGAAAGAAGCAAAAGTTCATTAGTGACAAAGGATTTACCCCTTTAGCAGTTTCTACCAAACAATCTTCAATGGCATTTTGGAGTGAGATATTCAAGTTTAGCTCTTGTTCTCCCACTGAATCAACTGTTGCTTGAATACTTTTCCTCAAATGCCTGCATAGGTCACTGATATATCCAATATCTGAGAGAACAGCTTCAGATCTAATTTGCCGAACCAAAGCAGTAGCAATTTGGATGACACTAGATTTAACTTGCGGATCATGTGAAACATTTTTGTGGTCCAAATGATGAATGACAGTAGTTAAAATCAATTGCTGATTCCCTGAAAAAAGAATAAGATAAGCATCAGTAAAATCCAAATAGATCAAGCTGGTTTCAATTCTACGATACAGTTGCCTGCACTTATAACCAAAAAAGTAACATGATAGAATCACAAATTGAAAATCTAGCGGTCAAATTTAGTTCACACAATTTACGACAGACAATTAGCATTTTTAAATCACTTAAACAGAATTAAACCAGTCAAGAGAAAGCAGTAAACTTATTTATGTATTCAAACAGAATTAAGAAGCTGCCATATGCACGCACCCGAAATCAGTTAACCTTCATAGCTAACAATATTGTAGGGTAAATGACCATCTGCATGAACATCTACTAATAACTAATGATAACAAAGTAAATGCATTAACATCTGCAAACCAGCAATATACAAGAGAACGAAAAATATATGTTGTTCTTATTAGTTACAAAATCCAAATTCTTTTATTTGTAAAATAGATACTTGGAAAGTTATAGTACTGCAATTGCACACCACTAATAAGTGTCTAGGCATTCTCCTTGGGAAAAAGAGAGAACACAGGAAAAGAAAATGATGTGATTTGAAATTTTGGCACATCAACAAAACATGAGGCAGAATATGTCAAGTCACCTGGAATCTCCACGAAGTAGCACATATCAGACAGAATCATTATTGCCAACCCATGCCGAGGAACCCAATGTCGGCCAGTATCAAAATAGACAAACATTGGATCCAATATCCGGCGCATTGTTATACTCTCTTTGGCTAGTTCAACCATTCTTTGGATACATATTTGCACCCATACTTTCGGTGTCTCAATCTCTTCTCTGTATGGATAAAATAAAAAAATAGAAGTAAAATGATTAGAATGCAAGACAGGATTATGTTTGCATACCTTTTTGGTACAAGTTTAAAATTGTAGCACAATGCCTTTGGAATTTGAACCTGGTTAAAAGAGAAGGATCTTTCTTCTCTGGTCGTGACCTAATCATCATGCTGCTAGGGATCATTTCAGTACCAGTGCCAACTCTCCCTTCGCATCTAACTACTTCATCCACCCAATGATGATGTAATTCCCCTCTTTCATCATCATCTTCATTTATTGTATCTGGCTCATAGTTAGCCAAAGTAACATGCACAATCTGCAATATGGAGATAAACAAACTAAAGTTGATGCACATTATTATGTCCATAAATCATACCTAAATTGGAATGGAAGCCATGCATATATAGACAAAGATTACACAATTAAGCACTTTATTCATATCCACAAAAAGGGGCAATATGAGTAACTCAATTAACAGTGTCGACATGTAGTTAGTATTTAATACATGGAAAGTTTATGTTTTGGGAAGTTCCATCAAAATTGAATGCTTCCGATCTTGTTAAAGATTTGAAATGAGTGAATCAGATTATTGACAGCATGTAAATGAATCTCAAACGGGAGGATTCTAGGATCTAAAGAAATGATATTGTTCTAATTCCCTTTGGCCATTATGGTGATACATCGATATTTCATTGCAACCTTCTTGTTTAAAAATTATATAGAACTTAATGATTAAGCCAATCTCATGGGAAGTCCCAACAACTGCATAACCCTTTCAAGAAACCCCACACCAAAGAATGTCCACTAAAGCAATAAACAGCTTTAAGAAATATAGCACCAAAAAAAAGAGACTAACCTGATCAAAATCAACAAAGATGTGCGAAAACTCTGCCATGAACCATACCTGCAAAGGAAGAAGGCTACTCGGTAACTACATTTGCATTAGAAAGTAGAAAGGATACAGGCAACAATAAAGAATGAAGTAAAATGCAATATTACTAAATGGATGCTAGAGAAGAAAATTTGCCAGAAACATTAAATTGAATAAACAAGTAAATAAACTATCAAATTACCATGGCTGAAAGGCACTGCAAGCCTGATGCCCTCAAGCAGCGCTTCTCATGTTCTTCTCCAGTCGCACGAGCTAGTATACATACTTTTTTAACCAAATTTTCAATATTGTATGTGTAAGTTCCGTCTACCTATTCATGCATCAGGACAAAACAAGAGAGAACAACAGGAAAAAGTGCTAATCAGAATCAATTAAAAGAAAATGGCCATACAATATGCATGTAAAATAATAAGTACCATACACTATTAACTGCGAGCAACAAGCTAACAATGCTGAACATTATTGTTCTTTCCAAACATATAGATCTAAGATTAATTAACTGGTGTATTTGGCCTAAATCATCGACCTTCTGAATATTTGCAATTTTTCACACTGTGAAGCTAATCATCTTCAAAAATAGAAGAAATAATTAAAATTTAAAACAGACGAACAAAATAGCCAGTTAATTTAAGTTTGTTACTAAAAATTCTATTTTTTAACTTTGGTGTGAAGTGGGTGATGCCCTATTCAGTTCAAGAATTGTTTACCTCTTGGATTTAGAGATTGTCCGAGAGGTAGCTTTTGAAGGACATAGGAGCTTACTCTCTGGCTCATGTCGCGCTTGAGGAATGAAAGAAATCAAAAGTCTTTTGATAAGATTTAGATGTCTATTTTGTGTTTAAAATGCACTGATCTTGTCCATATATTTTTGGCTTAGGGAGTCTTTTCCTTACTCTTTGCTTGATTTGTTGACTTTTTTAGGGAACATACGTTTCTGTTTTGGTTTTGGTTTTGTTTTTGTTTTTTGTATACTCCATGTGTCCAGGTTGCGCTGCCTTTCGTGATACTTTCTTAATAAAATTTTTACTCGTCAAAAAACTATTATTATTAATTCATTCGTTAAAGGTGGAGTGGGGGAAGAAGGGGCAAGATTTGGAATGCATACAATTTTTTTCTCATCTCCAATGGAGTTGAGCCTATTAGCAGAAAGTAATCTGTAGGAATTGTAATAGGAAATGGTTCAACTTACATTAGAAAAGGTCAAGACCATTAATATCATGTTATCAACATATTTGGAGACAACTCCAAGCCTCCAACTATTTGCAAACATTCCAAATTATCTTATTATTAAGTGTTAATTAATACCTTTAAAGTTTGAATAATACAGCAAACAAAATTACATGATTTTAATCCCATAGGACATGGTGCCATAGTAAACATCTGATGCAATTGACTTCTTGCTATATTTTTTAAAACAAGAATACCGGTCATGAGGCCAGCAGTATCTTTTCTTTTTCTTTACATTACTGCAAGCAACAGTTTCAACAATTACAGAAATCCTTTTCACCCATTAAAAGAAGAAACAATCCAAAAAAGCATCCACATAACCAAGATTTCCAGCTCAGATTCTTGAGATTGTACTATAATATATATTTAGCAGAATATCTAAAATTGATCACCAAGATCTCCTTCCCCATTTATACAACATATTCAAGTACTCATTAAGAATAGAGGGAAGGCACATAATTTACCTGACTATAAATGAACCTAGTTAATGTCTGGCAACCAATTAGTTGCACGGCATCTTTCTTGGAGTTATCCAATAGTTCATTAACAACATTCAGCAGACTGACAGCAAAATATGCCCTGCAAAAAAAAAGAAAATAAAATACTATTACAAGAGAATTCTACTTTTTCCATTATACTTTGGCCACTTTAGTCCAGAGTAAAACAAAGTAAAGAATAAAAACAAAATGAAAAGGTTACTAAAAAAATATTTCCTATTTGGTCTACATAAGTATCAAACATGTTAGCACCAAGCTTTTCAATAGAATACCGCGTGTCCAGATCTAGCATGAAAACAAAAGTGAAACAGCACAGTGAACCTTTTAACTTTTCAAGAGACCAAAAATTTAAGCAAAAAAGTTTGCAAGAAAAAAATAATAATAATTTAGTAATCTTTTTTCTATGAGGGATAAAGGCCATAGCATGACTAGTGTGATTTTAGATTTACGGTCTACTCAAAAAATTCCAAGACTTCTATTCAACAATGAGCATCATAGTGGAAAGTAATATTAATAGCAGAGAACATAACTTACATTTGCTCTTTACAAATACAAAGCAACTTATTGTACGCTTCTGTGACGATATTGACAAATTTGATGTGATCACATCGCAGTTCTTTGAAGCACCTTTCTTCTAGATATTGTGCAATCTATTGAGAATAAATAGCATCCGCAATACATCAGCATTGCACATTAATTCAAAAGGTCAAACCCAATTAGATTGTTAAATGGTATGATGACAATGTCAATACCTTTGGGATTCTAAAAGGGTTTTTGGCAGCATATTCACATAACTTGACAATTTTCCGTTCACTTGACGGACCATTCTGCATAACAAAATGTATACTTAAACTTTTCCATACATGATAGATAAGAACATAGTATTTCATTCATTTAACCCAAAAGTATAAAGTCAATCAAGTAGCTCACTGAAAATCAAGCCACCTACTACACAATATTTGAAGTTAACTTCTCATCATGAAAAAATTTCTATCTCAATAGATTTGGTTCACTGGCCAGAAACTTCAAAATAAATCATATCCCCGTGTCGGAGACTCGACAATTGGACAAGAGTATGGGATACGTGTATGATACTTTCCATTGAACACTTCTTATATTATACATTTGTTTTCACACTATCATATTATGGCCTAGTTTGGAAATACTAAATAAGTGCACTTTTTGACTTTTTTTGTATTATGTGTAGAAAAAGTAGAGAGGAGATGTTGATTGATGTGACCCAAAAAAGATAAAAAGATGAAATAAATGCACTTTTTTCTTTGTAGCCAAACTTGGCTTATATATATATATTGTTTTATAATATCATTATATATATTATTTTATAATTGTTACAAAATGAATAAAATGCATTTTTGACACTATATGATAACACCATTTTATCTCACACAATAAGATTAAAACATAAAAATAACCCCTTTTTGCCGAGTCCACATACCCAGGTTTGATGGGTTTAACCTCAAGATACGCATCCACACCTGAGTCTGTGTAACACATCAGCTAAGGTCAAAATTTGGACCTACCAAAAAATTTATAAATGGACAAAGCCTACACTCTGAAAGAATAAGGCCTAGTTTGGGAAGACTAAATAAGTGTACTTTTTGACTTTTTATGAAATATGGGTTGGGTTTGGGTTGGGTTTGAAGTGATGTGCTAGAGAGGTGATGTGACTTAAATAAGTTGATGTGACTTAAATAGGATAGTGACTTTTTGACTTTTTGTCTTTTTTCAATCATGCCAAACTTGGCCTAAATCAACTCATCACCACCCGTGGGTGACAAAGAATAAGTTCAAAGATGCAATCATGGTGAAGTGATATTTTTTCTTGGATGCATACTTAGACTTGGGATTAAGTCCTCAAGAAACCCGAGCATCACCTTACCCAGGTGGATAGAGTTAGGATAATCTAATGTGACCTAAGTGCTAAAACTCCAAACACAAACTAACAAGAGCTCAAACCAGCTAGTGTTAACAGATTCACATGATACATTTGGTCAGCTACACTCATTCACATTCATACATTTGCTGAACCATGCAGAGATGCGAGACAACATGACACAAATGACTGAAATCTATAATTGAGAATTTTTCTGAACAAGAAGCCACCAGATTCAAAGAAAATACTAACCGGAGATTTTGGGAAAATTTCAGCAAGCAGTTTCTTGTAACGCTTAACCGGTTGGCGAGAACTAGACCTCAAAGCAGGGCAGCAAACACACATTTTCCCACATGCTGGGAATATCTTCCGAGAAATAAAACCCATTTTCCTACAAATACTAAAAAAAATAAGAAAAAACAGTGACATCCACTAAAATCTTCTACCAAAATCACCACCAGAGCATGAAACAACAAATCCAACAAACCCAAAGTTGCAACATATGTAGACATAAATACACATACACACACACACACAAACAAAACCAGAACCCAAAACCCAGAAGGAAAGTGGGGGAAGAGAAAACATCTTTGGGAGCTAAAAATAGAACACACAGAGATCACACAGGCCTCAGAACAAACAAAGATCACACCTACCACACAACTTAACCCCAAAAAAAATAATCCAAAATTTGAAAATGAAGAAAGGAGAGAAAATTACCAAACCACCAAAAAGACATGCTAGAAAGAAGAAGAAAAAAAAAAAAACCAATCAAGACTAGACAGAGAAGAAACTGAAATACTAATTACATTTGCCCAAGATTACACCAAATTTTTTGAGAAAGAAAATACCCAGAACCCAAACTGAAGGATGGATACCCAGAACATCAAATAGCGCCAAAAGCAAAAAAGAGAGAAGAGAAACGCATACCTTGCCCTGCGGAGGCAGATCTGGGTAGTGAAACCTCCCGCAGGGTTTATGCTTGGAGAACACCAGCAAGAATCAGCAATGTCGAACAAAACAAACAAACAGTGGGGAGAGAGAGAGAGAGAGAGAGTGGTTTGAGAAGAATCAAACGAACATCGGGGAGAGGATGGAGGGACGGTATCACGTGATTGACAGTAGAGAAAACTGCTTTATGGTTTTGTGTCAGAATTTTGGGAAGACTCAAAAAAAAATCCCAAACATGCTTTTGCTTTTTTTTTTTCCTTTTTATAGTTTGGATTGGGAGAGTTTGAAATTCGATTTGATCTTGAATTTGAAGTGATGATTGCTTTTGAGTTTGAACACTTTTTCTATGTTTATTTTTGTAATTGAAATTTGAAGTTAACTTTTGTTTGAAAACTATAATGGTGGAAAAATGTTGGAAAGGGTTTGAAAGGGAATTAATTGAATAATGAAGTGCCTTTAATATCATTAATTAGCCAACCTTGTTTTCATAACCATCCTCCCATGGAATACAAAAATGCTCAGAGGTCCCAAAAATTTTATCAAGGTCAAGTTTGGGTACTTGTAAAAAAGTCAAAAAGTTAAAAAGTTACTCAAAAGTTAACACTATTCACCAAAAGTCAACAATTACGACTGCACAACTCCCAATTCAAATTTTTTCCTACAAATCAATTTTTACAATTTTTTATTACACATTTTTCCATAAAAAGTCAAAAAGTTAACCCAAACATCTATATTTTCAACCTCAATTTTTTAGTCCAAAAAGTACACTTATTTAGGACACCCCAAACAACCCCCAAATGTCTCACATAGGTGTGGGACCCACATTGTGTGAGTCCCACACCCATGTGAGACATTTGGTAAAACTTTTGGTAGAATATTTGGAGTCTCTAGTATCTCCTTGCGTAGCACTTTAAGGGTCCGTTTGGAAAGAATTAAAGTGGGGTTTTTTTGGATATTTTAGTCACAAAGGATAAAATAGGTTATTTTAGCCACAAAAAACAAAACATCACATTCAACTCATAATCATTACACTCTTCTCTCACAAAAAAAGTCAAAAAAGTCACATCACATTCAACTCATAATCATTACACTCTTCTCTCACAAAAAAAGTCAAAAAAGTCAAAAAGTCAAAAAGCCCTTCTCAAACTAAGCTTTTTAGCCTAGGCTAAAATAGCTAAAAAAATCAAAAAGTTAACCCACTTCCCAAACAGAGGCTAATTGGGTTTGGCAGAATTTTATGGTGGTAACTTGTTATGAATCTTATTTTGATTATTTAAATTATTTATATTATAAAAAATTTTAATTATAATTTTTTTATTTTATAATATATTTTTAAAAAATAAACTACAAATATAATTTTTAAAAAAATTATTCATTTTTAAAAAACAAACACAATAAAATAAAAATATTATAATTAACAAATTTACATAATTTTTTTCATGAATGACATGTGTTGAAGGCCTTGCAAAATAAATGATTGGAATTATGGAAATAGGACTTGTAATGAGTTTTACGGACTCCTCAAACTCTCTCTTATTAAAATGATAACATGAAGAAAGTCAAATCCTTTCAATTTGTATAAATTTCACTTAGATTTATTTTGGCAACAAATTAAAATAGTCAAAATTTTATTACAAAAATTTTAACTTTTTTACATGTTATTTCATAAAAAAATGAAAAAAAAAATAATTAAAAGGATCAATCCTCAAAACAACCTTTAATTTATTAGCAAAAAGTTTCTTACAATTTTAATTCCACCCACTTTGTTTACCCTTTACTCACCGCCACCAACTCCAGCTAGCAGTGAACATGGTTGGATTTGGTTCAATTTTGAAATAAATTAAGGCTAAATAATTATCTATATTTTCATGAATTTTGCAATCAAATTAAATTATGAAATTTTGAAATCAAATCAAACTATAAAAATGTAATTCAATTTAGTTTTGAATCATGATTTTTATAAATTTTATCATTATTTTTTAATTACAACATGCTTAAACATTAGACAATATGTCACCATTTTATAAACAATGATTGTTTAAATAATTATTTAGAACTAGTTTTACAATTTACAATAGCACACGTGTAAGAGTAGAGGGCTATTCACTTATAAATATGTACATATATATATATATATATAAGATACTAACAAGTCCTTAAGTGATTACAATAAATAAAAACACTTATAAATATGTACATATATATATATATATATATATATAAAAGATACTAACAAGTCCTTAAGTGATTACAATAAATAAAAATTAAGGATAAGTTATACGTACACTTCTTGAGATTTGGGTTTAATACATATCACCTATTGACATTTGGAAAATTACACTAATCCTCCTATCATTGTAATTATTTAGACGGTATGAAAATATTGAACTCATGCACTCTCTCTTTTTTTGGTTTGCTTTACTTTCTCTTTTTTTTTTCCTTTTCGTTTATTTTTTTTTAATGTAATTTCCTCTATTTTTCTACTAGGAGTTGTTACCTTTTATATAAGCAAGGTGGTTTGTGAAATCAAACTATTAACCACAGTGGTGGAAATATAATTTCCAAAACGTCGGGGGTGGGTAGTAATTAGACCAAATCTCAAGCGTTGTCAATGTAATTTACCAAAAAATGAATATATAGACCTCGTCTGACAAGTGAACTTTTTTAGTTTTTTAGCTAAGTAAAAAATTAATAAGACAAAATATCATATTCAAATTATAATTATTTCATCTTTTATCTCACAAAAATCAAAAAAGTCAACCCAAACTAGGAATGGCAACGGGCAGGGCGGGGCCGGGGATCATACTTCCCATCCCTGATCCCAGATGGTAACAATGTCCCTGACCCCGGCCTCGGCCTCGATCCTCGACGGGGGACCTATCACCATCTCCACCCCCGTCCTCTAACGGGGATCAGGTATCCCCGACCCCGAAATTCCCCGCTCAAAAGAAAAAAAAAAGAGAAACCGAGGTCGTCGGATCGACATCAACAACAACTACAACAACTACAACTACAATTTGTTTCATCTGATCATCATCAACATCAACAACAGACAGTGAGATAAAGAGAGATAAATAGCAGTGAGATAAGAGAGACATCAACAAACAGAGAGATAAATAGTTATGAAACTCAGATCTCATATCTACAAAACTCAGATCTTGGATCGATTTGCTCCGTCTTCACCTTCTCCAAGAGTGCTCGGAACTGAGAGAAAAAGAGGCAGCAATGGAGAAGTTGTAGACGATGGTAGCGGGATCGCCTTTGAAGACGACGGTAGTGACGGGATCGCCTTTGGAGACGACGGTGATAGAGGAAAAAGTAGATTGGTGGAGTAAAGGAGAGAGAGAAAGAGACGCTGAGAGAGAAGATTGGTGGCAAGTGAAGAAGATCGGCGGTGGAGGGAATGGAGGAAGAGGGAGAGAAAGAGAAAGAGAGAGAATGAGAATGAGTGAGGGAGAGAAATGAATCAACAGTGAGGCTGAAATGAAAATGAGATTCAACCCTAAACATATATATATATATATATATACGGGGATGCTCGGGTATTACTCGGGGCCGGGCCGGGCCCGGGCAACCTATTCCCGTCCCCGGCCCGAAAACTACCGGGGATTTAATTTTTAATACCATCCCCGGCCCTATGGAGATAATTTTCAGGGAAAACCCGTTCTAATCGGGGTCGGAAGGGTCGGGTCCCTGTTGGGCCGGGTTCAAATTGCCATCCCTAACCCAAACTTCGTTTGGGAAGTAGGTTGGCTTTTTCGTTTTTTACCTAAGGCTAAAAAAGATCGTTTTAGTTGGGGTTTTTTTTTATTTTTGTAAGAAAAAAAATGAAATGATTATAGTTTAAATGTGACACTTTGTTTTATTAATTTTTTAAGGATTCTTTAGGAAATGCTAGATTAGTATACTTTTTGACTTTTTACGAAAAAACGTGAAATATGGGTTAAGTTTGAAGTGATGTAGAAGAAAGGTGATATGACTTAAATAAAATGATTGTGACCGAAATATGATAGTGTGCTAAAATAGCATGTGTTATTTTAGCACATGTCAAACAACCACTTAGAGGTTGTTTGTGATGAATTATATAAGTGTACTTTTTGATTTTTTGACTAAAATATTAGAGAAAAAAAGTATGTTTGTTTTAGATAACTTTTTGACTTGTTACAACAAAAAAATGTGTATTAAAATATTGTATGAAATATCAAAATTACCTTTCTACCCTTCTAACAGTGCACTGAGCACACCTTCTACCCTTCTGACAATGCACTGAGCTGCAATGGTGCATTGTTTGACTTTTTTTATTTTATTTTTTCTTAAATAGCCGTGAGCTGTGCATGTTAGTGAAGGACAAAAATGTCTTTTTTTCCTTTGAGTACTCAACCCCATTTTCTTGCCCAAACATTGCGAATAGTATAAACATTTTTACCTTTTTAGTGACTTTTTTATTTTTTGTTTTTTTTGTCTTTTTGTGACTAAATTCGCTCCCAATCTAAAAAAAGGCCTTATGTCAAATGAAGACGAACTTTTTAACCGCATGTTAAAATAACGAAAAAAAAGTCAAAAAATAAAAAAGTTCAACCCACTTTTCAATCAAAACTAAGGCTAAGTTTGGGAAGTCCCAAAAAAGTCAAAAAGCCAAAAAGTTACTCAAAAAGTTAAAAAGTAGTCAAAAAATAAAAAAGTTCAACCCACTTTTCAATCAAAACTATATATGTAAGCATCTAAACGGTCTGGTGTGATTTTAAACCAAAATTTTAATTATGAAATCACAAACAAAACCATAAAATATGTTTTGCCTAGTATAAGACCTATAATCAAATTATATATTGAGAAAATCATACCAAATTGTACAGTTTTATCTAGATCAAATCAGTTTGCCATTTTTTCAATTCTTTTACTCCATCCTAGTTCAAGCTATCTTCCCTTGCCTATCATCGGCTCTGACCGGCTTTTTTTCGAGGTTTTTTTTGAGAGGATGAGGTTTACAAAGGAGTCCAACAAATATGTGATTACTATTAATTATAACTTTAATAGTTTTAATTAATAGTACAATCAATTTAAAGCTTGTCAAAAGTTTAAAACTGTGTTTGGTTTTATTTTCATAATCTAGTTTTAGAAATCACAAAATAAAAAAACTAAAAATTAATTTAGTAAAAAAAATTAAAAAATTGAAAACACTTATCATTTTTATATTTATCTTTTGAGATGTTATAAATAATTTTTACAAATATATTTTTGATATAATTTTCGTCAAATTAATTTCAATATTTTGAAAAAAAATTATAAAAATGGTCTAAGAAAATCAAACCAAGGATGACCTAAGTATCTTGAGACATCCCTTAACAAAATTATAAGCTAATATAATTTAAGTAATTAAAATATTGAGATGTTCAATCAAAAGT